TGAGGCTCCTCTTGAGCTGTGGCCCTTTAGATGGATCCAGCCCTGTATGTTGTATGCTTTTTTTTTCCTTTCTTCCTTTTTTTTTTTTTGGGTTTGGTTGGTTGGTTGGGTTTTTTTGGGGGAGGGGGTTGGGTTTTTTTGCACTTTCACTGGGCTGTGTATTTTTCCAGAGCTAGACAAGCCAGATCAAAGATGCATGCTGTAAGAAATAGACTGAGAGGGTCCATTCTCAGTATGAGATGGGCTTCGAGTTTATGAGAACAGCAGATATGCAGGAGGCACTAGGCCCCTCTCTTCCCTAGCTGGCAGCCGATGCCTGCTTATCTCAGAACTCCAAGGGCTGGAAAGTTATACGTAGTCTGCTACATGATTGAGCCCATGATCAGAAATGGGGCATTTTCTGATCATTAATCATAATATAAACCTTTGTGAGCCGGGCAGTGGTGGCGCACACCTTTAATCCCAGCATGGGGGGTGGGGCAGAGGCAGGCACATCCCTGTGAGTTCGAGGCCAGCCTGGTCTACAGAGCTAGTTCCAGGATAACTGGAGCTGTTATACAGAGAAACCTTGTATAAACCAAACCAAACTAAAACAAACCAAACCAAAACGCCTGTGTGTCTTAAACTCACGAGCTGAGGGATTAAAGAAGACAAGTGTCTGCCTGTGGGAGATAGCAGAAATTCTCGGGGGGGGGGGGCAGGCTTTGAAAAACAATGTCTTGTGTCAATCAGCACGCCAGCATTTTTGACCTTTTCTCTGCACTGCATCCTTCTGTGAAATGGCGTATTAAAAACTCCTCCAGCCAGGTGTGTGGTGGTGCACACCTTTAATCCCAGCACTCAGAAGACAGAGGTGGTGTATCTCTATGAGATAGAGGCCAGCCTGGTCTACCTCACAAGTTGCAGGCTAGCCAAGGCTACACAGGGAGACCCTGACTTGAACACACAAACCTGCTTCATTTTTACTGGTCTCTTGAATTTTTTATTATGCTTATATTATTTCCTAAGGCTAAGTCTAGGAGTCAGGTTTGCCCACCCCACCCAGGTCCCCCTTAAATCTTCCCCTGACATGAGCCCATTTGAGCATAATGGATTAAACACTGTTCCAGACTCTTTAGGGATGGGCTATTTTCATGGACTTAGGTAGCTAACGCAGGACAGGTTGTGGTTCCCTCTTCTAGCTCTAACCTTGAGTGTGCAGACGTGGGAGAAGAACTTTAGATCCCATCTCAGGTTTATGAAAACAGGAGATAGAGATAAATCAGGTAGGGCAGGGACTCCAGGCGGAGGCTCTCAGAACATCCTGGCTTTAGGCCAGGAACACCAGGAGAGAAAGTTCTGGTTCCTGCTCCCTTATCTCCTCTGCTTGCCTGGAAGTCATAGGTGACTGAAACTGAGAGGGGACGTGGAATATCCCTTTACATTGTGTGAATATATGTCACTGTAATTGGTTTAATAAGGAAACTGACTGGCCTATAGCAAGGCAGAATAAAGCTAGGCAAGAGAACCAGACTAAGAGAATGCTGGGAAGAAGTGGGAGGAGTCTCGGGAGTCATCAGGCAGACGTGGAGAGAAGCAAGTTGAACGTGCTTTGTTGAAAAAAGTACTGCCATGTGGTAGAGGCTAGAACACGAATAAAACATAGGTTAATTTAAGATGTAAAAGTTAGTTCGTACCAAGCTTAAGCTATCAGCTGAGCGTTTATGGTTAATAATAAGTCTCTGTGTGAGCTGACTGGCAGGACAGAAAAATCCACCTGCGAGGGTTGGACACCTGCGTTGGCCAGCTGCACTGACCGGCTCACTTTGGTTTCTGCCATGGGTCCTTGACAAAGCCCAAGAGCAAAAACTCAATGGTCCCCACTTCGAAGGACCCCTCCTCTCACCCAGGATTCTGTTTGCTCTCTCTGCGGCTGCCACCTATGCACTGTAGTAAACTTGCCTCGACAATTCATTCTGTGGTCCAGGAGTGTCATCCTTCAAACTCGTGAGATGAGAACCTAAAAAGCACGGATTCAGGATGACTTTTGTGGTTAAGTTTTCCGGGACTCTAGCCCCTCAAGCGAAGCGTACCAGGTTCAGAATAAGGCTGTTACTCTTAGAGACACCCCAAAACATCTGTTATCAAGACCTGTTGTAGTCTCTTTTCCTCCGGCGCGCTACCGACGGTCCTATTGTCATCATGGGTCGCGCCCGGTGTTACCGGTATTGTAAGAACAAGCCGTACCCAAAGTCTCACTTCTGCCGAGGTGTCCCTGATGCTAAAATCCGCATCTTTGACTTGGGATGGAAGAAGGCAAAAGTTGATGAATTCCCGCTTTGTGGCCACATGGTGTCAGATGAATATGAACAACTCTCTTCCAAAGCTCTGGAGGCTGCCCGTATTTGTACCAACAAATACACGGTAAAGAGTTGCGGCAAGGATGGCTTTCATATTCGAGTGAGGCTTCACCCCTTTCATGTCATCCGAATCAACAAGATGTTGTCCTGTGCTGGGGCTGACAGGCTCCAGACAGGCATGCGTGGTGCCTTTGGGAAACCCCAGGGCACAGTGGCCAGGGTTCACATTGGCCAGGTCATCATGTCCATCCGCACTAAGCTGCAGAATAAGGAACATGTGATTGAGGCTCTTCGTAGAGCCAAGTTCAAATTCCCTGGCCGCCAGAAGATCCACATCTCAAAGAAATGGGGCTTTACTAAGTTTAATGCCGATGAATTTGAAGACATGGTTGCTGAGAAGCGACTCATTCCTGGTGGCTGTGGGGTCAAATATATTTCTAATCATGGTCCCCTGGACAAGTGGCGAGCCCTACACTCCTGAGGGCTTTCACGGTGCTCTCCTGTACCCTACCAAATCATGTTCAGTAATAAATCTCACATCCAGTCTGCTTAAAAAAAAAAAAAAGACCTGTTGTAGTGTGCAGTTACTCCAAGTTTTTATGTGCATTGTTTTTTACTTGCTTGTATGTATGTGCACCAAGTATTCCTACACACATGCATGTTTGTGTACTATGTGCATGCCTGGTGTCCGTGGAAGCCAGAAGAGCATCAGATCCCCTTGGATTGGAGTTACAGATGGTTGTGAGTTGCCATGTGAGTGTGGGGAGTGGAGAGATGCCTTTGATGCAGGTGCCCAGGGAGTTGGAGCCACCTGATATGGGTGTTGGGAACCAAACTTGGGTTCTCTGTGAAAATAGAATGCATCCTTAACCACTGAGCCAGCTCTCCACCCTGTCCCCACTGTTTCTTTCTAAGCTGGTAGAGAGGGTGAGTGCCACAAAGGGAAGTCCTGTCTAAGAGAAAAAGGTGACTTAGGATGACTTATAGTGTAGAGTGAAGTCTTGGCACAAAGACTAAGAGGCCAAAGAGCAGATTATGAAAGAGAGCTAGGATCTCACATCATGATCCTGCCTGCTCCAAAGCAAACATGCCAAAGCATTGCTATTTGATTTTACTTATCTTTGGTGCTAAGGACAGAGCTTGATGCATGTTAAGCAAGTGCCCCACTTCTGAGCCACAAACCCACCAACACTTAAGAGTTTTATTTATTTTTAAGTTTTAAAATGATCTTTTATGTGCATGGATGTTTTACCTGCATGTATGTCTGTGTACTATGTGTGTGCAGTGCCAGGTAAGACCAGAGGTGGGTGTTGGATCCTCTGGGACTAGTGCTACAGGCGACTGATCATGCGCCACTATCCAGGGTAGGGAATTGGACCCAGATCCCCTAGAAGAGCAGCCACGGAGCCAGCTCTCCAGCCCCGACTTGCAAATTAGAAGACGCCTCACACTCCTAATATTCAAGGAATTGATGGCAAGACAGTTCCCTTCCTGTGAACTTGGGAGAAGTGGGCTCACGGAGTGTGCCCACAGCTCTGGTATAAACTATCTCCTATAAGGGACTTCTAGAACCTGCTGAATTTATTGAGTGTTTAGTGAGCTACCTCTAGCCCTAGACATCGGCTCTCCACACTCAGCCTCCTTCTCTTAGCTTCAGAATGATCTCAATCTACTAACTTCAGGTTTTTGTTTATCTGGCTCAGTTCCACCTGTCTGGTAACTTCAGACTTGGGGTCTCAGTCCCCTTGGCCGGGTACTCCTATCAAGCAAACGTTCTCCCTCACTCTTTTCTTTTAAAATCGCATTGGCAAGAAGGCAAGATGACAGAACCCAGCCAGAGACTGAGGGGAGAACAGGGATTTCAGGCTTCAGGTAGCTGCATGCTTTCATTATGCAGAAACTCCCTGAAGAACAGAGACTGGAGTCCATCCTGAGGACTTTTTCGTAAGGCAAAAGTTGTTGCTTAATCTGGGTCCCAGTCAGCCTGTGGGAAGTGTGTAGGTGATGGTGAGATGCGCCCTTGCAGAAGTACAGAGAGCATTATGCAAGACGTGCAAACAGTGGGCACGGAGTGAGCACTTGGTAAGCATGGCTGCAATCTGCCTGCTGGCTGAAAGACAACCTTCGAGCCTACAAACCATACAGACGCCTGGAGAAAGGGACTTAGGGACAGAGAACAAGACCACCACCCATGGCTAAGCACGCTCCTAGCACACACCAACTTCACTGGCAGGTGATCCACTGTGATCTTTGCTTAAAAACAAAAAACGGGTTAGGGAGATGGTTCACTTGCTGACAAGTTTGACAACCTGAGTTCAACCCCCATGATCCACATAACAAGTTACAGGCCATCCAGGACTATCCACAGTGAGACCATGTCAAAAAAAAAAAAAAGAATCTTTTAAATTTATTTGATAATTCCATACATGTATACAATGCAATTTTGGGTCTTTTTGAGACAGGGTTTCTCTGTGTAGCCCTAGCTGTCCTGGAACTCACTCTGTAGACCAGGCTGACTGAACAATCAAGAGATCCACCTGCCGCTGCTTCTGAAATGCCAGGATGAAAGGCGTGCACCGCCAAGTGGCATAAAATGCATTCTTACTAATTTTATCCATGTCCTCTCTTCTCCCCCTCCCCCTCTACCTTCCCCACCCCCAGGACGACCCATTTTCACACTCACATCTTGTGTTTTGTTGTGTGACCCTCTGAGTCTAACCAAGGCCATCTGTGTGACCATGGGGTTGGAACTATCCATTGGAGACTGACCAGCTTCTCGGTAGGTCTACAACAGAAGATACTGACTCTCCATCTCCTATGAAGGCCCCGCGAGCCTCTTCTGTATCCGTGATTGACTGCTGACAGGCCATTCTTATACAGGCCTGGTGCAGGGAGATGCTGAGAATTTATGATGGCGATGGCCGTGTCATGCCCAGAAGATGGTATTTTACAGCCCTTCTCCCTGTCTTTCGGCTTTTACATTCTTTTCACCCCTAAACTTTAGAGAGGAAGGCATAAATGTCTTACTTAGGGCTGACCATTCAACTGTCACTTAGTCTAGGTACTTGAAACTGCTCAACTTTTTTTTTTTTTGAAAAAAAAAAAAAATTCCTGCCTCCTCCCAGCCTCCCATTTCCCTCCCTTCTCCTCCCGCCCCTCCCTACCCCCTCCCCTCACTCCTCTCCCCCTCCCTCTCCAGTCCGAAGAGCAGTTAGGGTTCCCTGCCCTTGTGAGCTACAAAGATATAACTAGAGCTAGTGGCACAGCGACACTCGGTGGACAAAAGTAGAATTGCATGCTAGTCCCATGTGAGTATTGGGATCCCAACATTGAGCCATTCCAAGGGCCCAGGTTCCCTGTTACCTAGTTAGATCTATTCAAACCTTCCTTAGCGAGTTCAATAAACACCTGGGAAAGGTCACACTGAATTCTGTGAGCGGGTATAGCTATTCCTTCTTCACAGCCACGTCCTTTCTGCCCACAGCCCAAGAGGAAACTTGGACATTTGTTCTCCTTAAAGAACAGAAGGAAGGGGACATGTTATTTTAGTTGGGACTAGCATGTATGAGGTCCTAGGTCAGACTCTGGCACCAGAAGGAAAAAATGGACAAAAGAAAACCAAGTGTGTGTGCCACACACCTATTATAAGGCTGGGTGGTAGCAAGTTCAAGACCAGCCTGAGTTACAGAAAAATCCTGTCTCAAAGTAGCAAGAGCAGAGAGGACTAGCCAGAGTGTCAGCAAGTTTCCATGTGCTCGGTCTAGCTCCCTGGGAGTTACGATTTGCAGAGAATGCTTAGCAATCTTGTATTTCTTCTCAGTAGACTGACTGAAAACAGCTAGAGAAAAATATGGAGAACTATCATAGCTTGGATACAGAGTGTCTCCACAGTTCATTTGTTGGAACTCACTTGGTCTCAGCTGCTGCTGGTGTGTAGGGAAGCTGTAGAAACTGGGAGGGGTGGAATCCTGTGGGGTGGGACTTGAATTTTATAGTTTAGCCTGCCCCTGTTCTCTCTGATTCCTGGTCCATAGCGATGTGAGCAAGCCGCCTCATACGGCAGCTGCCACAGCCTCAAGCTGTTCCAAACCATGAGCCAAAACAAATCCTCCTTTAAGGTGGCCACAACAGGAAAAGAATTCATACACTGCCAAAGAAAAAAATCACCTTTAAATCGTTTACGATAATAAAAGTTCTTTCAAATAGAGTCCACAGGAAAATTAATACATTTGCAAGATTTTTTTTTCCACTCTCAAATTTCCATGTTATTTTATTTGAGACAGGTTCTGTAGTACAGGCTGGTCTTAGTAGCTCTCCTGCTCCAAATACTGTGATTCACTACTGCAGGCAGAAATACAGAGGAGGTTACAGACAGCACTCTGCTGTTTGTGCTAGACCAAAACCAGTGCACACCTCAGCATTAAGTTGAGAGGCTACTGGGGCTGGAGGTGGCTGGGGGTGTGGCTCAGTGGTAGAGCTCCTGTTTGGCACAGGTGAGGCACTGGGTCCCATGCCCAGCATTGAAGGAGGAGGAGGAAGGAGAAGGAGGACCAGTGAGATGGCTTAGCAGGGAAAGGTGCTTAGTGGCTAAGAGCACTGGTTGCTCTTCCATAGGACCTGAGTTCAATTCCCAGCAACCACATGGTGGTTCAGAACCACCTGTAATGGGATCTGATGCATCTTTCTGTTGTGCAGACCTACAGGAAGACAGAGCACTCATATAGAATAAATCTTTTAAAAAATTTTCAATTATAATTGGACTGAATCTACGATCTTTTCCCAGGGATCACAAACTCTATAACATTTGGAGGCCCCAGCAAGATCTCTGGGAGACCGAAGACTGGGGACCAGAATAGGCCCCAGAGGGAGCAAGTCTAAAGTGGACTTCATAGGCCCCGGGGAGCCCAGACTACAAGCCACCCCAAACATGCAAACTGAAAGTAAGAACTGGCAGCCAATATGCTTCTGAGGCTGAGACTGATTGCTGAGATGCTCTGTTCTGTTTGGAGTCTGGGCATTTGAAGAGGCAAAAGGTAAGACTGTGGACCCAGGTTCTGGGGCAGATTTTACCGTCCTGATTCTGTGTGTCGTACTGTCCCTTCCCATTGTCCCTGTTGTCTGTTGTACTGTCCCTTCCCATTGTTCCCTGCTGTCTGTTGTACTGTCCCTTCCCATTGTTCCCTGCTGTCTGTTGCATTTGTGGTTTTTTTTTGTTTGGTTGGTTTTTTTTTTTTTTCGAGACAGGGTTTCTCTGTGGTTTTGGAGCCTGTCCTGGAACTAGCTCTTGTAGACCAGGCTGGTCTCGAACTCACAGAGATCCGCCTGCCTCTGCCTCCCAAGTGCTGGGATTAAAGGCGTGCGCCACCATCGCCCGGCCCTATTTTCTTTGTTTTAACAAATAAAACTTGCCTGAAGATCAGAGTGTAGAGCTAAGCCACTAGAGGCCAGTGAGTGGTGGCACACACCTTTAATCCCAAAATTTGGGAGACACAGGCAGAAGGACCTCTGTTAGTTCAAGGCCACCCTGGGCTGCATGAGAATGAATCTGTCTGAAAGGGAAACAAAGCTCACACAAAGGTGATCCCAGTACTTAGGTTTCCATATCTTTAATCCCAGGGAGGTGGAGACAGGAGTGATATGGCTGGGTGGAGAGAGGAATATAAGGCAGGAGGAGACAGGAGCTCAGAGCAGTCTGAGGTTTGGTGAAAACAATTGCAGTCTGAAGCAGTCTGAGGAGGCAGTCTGAGGACCGGATTGCCCCTTAGGTCTGAGCATTGGTAAAGTCTCTCTAGTGGCTGGCTGCACTGCTTCTCTGATCTTTCAGCTTTCACCCCTTAATATCTGACGCTGGGTTTTTATTATTGAGAACAATTAGAATTCATGCTACAGATAACGTTATTAAAAAGCTGGCTCTGGAGTTGGGGTATGGCCTCCCTCCTCCGGTCCAAACATGATTGTTCAAATATTTCCTCCAAAATATCTATGTAGGTTAGGAGGCCATCTGACTCTAGAACAGTGAGAAAAAACAAAACCGCAAAAATATAAATATATAATATAAAATAGCCAAAATACCAACTTCCTGTACTTTAAGATTGTAAGCTTATTAGATATCATTAGAAGCCTATAAAGTAAAAATCGGTAAAGAAAACAAAAACAACCTGATGCCAACATTATCTGAGTTCCTATAAATATATCATTTTTATAGTTTTCTAATGACCTCCAGGTTACAGACACTTAAATTATTCTGAAGCTGAATAAATTTATAAGAAAAAATACTTACTAAGTGTTTCAGATTGTCTGCCTCTACCTGCAGACACACAAACTGGTTATAAAGTAAAATGAAACCCTCTGTCTGAAATCTCTCAGTAATAACTCTAGATATGCCTGCTTAAAATGATCAGACTTGGACTCACTTAAAGTTAATATTCCTTCCAAATAAAGGAGATAGGCAAAGTAATGGAGCCTTCAATCGGACATCCAGTCACTCCTCCCAAGCTGGTCCATGCAAATAGGCCATCATTGCAGGAGGCCTCCTGCTCTGGAGAGACTGCGAAATACAGGCAAAAGCTAAGAATAGGGAGGGAGACCCCCATGCAGCAAGGAGAAAGCTGTTCTACACACTGGGAAAAAGCTCAGACTTTGCTTCATACCCTTAGGGAAAAAATCTCACAACAAATGGAAAGCTTCTTTGTTACTGTTATGTCTCATGTTATTTAAATCTTGTAATCAAAAAGGATTTATATAAAAATAAGGATGGCTAAATATAATTAAAAATGCCTAGCTCTTTGACTCGTTTTCCCTTTTTTGGTTCTTGTTTCCAAAAGAAAATGTTCCCTCATTCAAGGCTATAGATATTCAAAACTTTTTATTGGAATCTGTTAAAACCATTTCATGGCGATGGGGTAAGGGGGAGGGGGGGCTTGTAAAATTTAGTTTAAAACTGTAACAAAAAAACCTATACACAGGTAATCTTAATTTGCTACTGCGTGCTTTTATATAACTCTAAACCAACTCTTGTTACCTCCTTTTTAGACTAAGGAAACAACAGATCTCCAAGATATTTTAGATTAGAATGGATTTCTGTATGAGTTTTGTCCTAAAAAAATGAGATTAAAAACAACATATGCTTCCCCAACCATCACCAGTGCCTGAGGCAGATGGGAGAGTTGGTCACGAGAGCGTAAGAAAAGACCCTGCTCTTTGCCTGGGCAGCACAGTAGAGTTAACCCTGTTGACAGAGGCAGGGGTGAGCCAGCGCTGAAGCAGTGAGCATGGGAGAGCTGTCCACGCCCTCCACGAGCTGTAACACTTGGGAGAACAGGCCCTGCACCTCTTCTGGGCAACACAACAGAGCCAACCCTGTTGATAGAGGTGTGGGTGAACCAGCCCTGCCGTGGTCAGCAAGGGAGAACTGTCCCCAGCACTCATCGGTCACGTGGCAGTGTGGGTGGGGAAGAGCCCCCTCCTTCCCACCTCCGTTCCCTATCACCTGCAACAGACAGGTGAGACGACCCTCCCACTGGCCAGTTGCAGCACTCCGGAAAGCAGGCCCAGCTCCTCACCTGGGCAGCACAGCAGAGCTGGTCGGGTAGTTGGAGATAAGTTGTGAGCAAGGAGGAGTTGTCCCCATTACTCATCTGACAAGTAACAACATGAGCTGAGGAGAGATGCGCCCCCACCTCATCAATGCCTGAGGCAGGTGCAGAAGCTAGCCCTGGGGTCATAAGAGCAGGAGGGCTTACACTGCCCCCCACCACTATAGCACTCAGGAGAGTGTGCCCTGGACCTCACCTGGGCAACACAGTAGAGCTGGCCCTGATGGCATAAGTGTGTGTGTGTGTGTGGGGGGCAATCCTGAGGGCATGAAAGCAGAACTGGCCCCGTCCCTCACTGGTTGCTACAAGGGTGAATTAGCTGGGGCAGTGCTGGAGAGCTCCCCCTAGTGGTGAGCACAGGGAAGAGCTGGCAGGCTGGCCAACACTATAGCTGCCCAGACCCAGACTCAGACCCAGACCCAGATCCAGGGTTATAAATTGGTCTGCCCTAGCATTCACCTCATCTATGAGCTGCTGGAGCATGTGAAGGGGCCTGACCCGCACACCCACAGCTGCAGGATCCCCACAACACAGGGTAACGACAGGATATCCGAGAAGAACCTCAATGGGGGTCCAGCATCGATAGTGTAGCAGAAACCAGCGGGCTCACACCACACCAATGATGCCTTGCGATGAACACTTGCAGGTAAAGATGTAAGGACAAGGATTTGCCGAGAGACTCACTGGGTCACACTGCAGCACCCATGACAAGATTTTTAATTGTTTTCCTTTTCTTTTTTTTTCTCTAAAATGTTGTTTTATCTGGGGAGGAGATTTGCAGCAGCAGAGGGTAGATGCGAAGGGACCAGGAAGTGATCGAGATCAAGATGCATAATGTAAAAGACACATTGAATAAATAAAAAGAAAGTTTAAAAAACACATGTGGTCAGATGTGGAGGGGCACACCTTTAATCCCAGCACTCAGGAGGCAGAAGCAGGCAGATCTCTGAGTTCAAGGCCAGCCTGGTCTACAAAGCAAGTTTCAGGACAGCCAGGACTACACAGAAAAATCCTGTCTTGAAAAAAAAATTCCCATGATAGAGAAAACTACTAGCTGTGAGCTCCTAGAAACAACCCTAAGGTCTCTTCCAAATAAGAGAACGGGGCACAAATGACTCCACCTTAGTTGTGGTAATGTTAACTGCTGGTAAAGAACAGTTCCATGTCTCACCTGCCATCAGGACCCTATCCAAACTGTCTCTTTGCTTTCCAAGGCAGGCCAGTCTCCCAAGGTCCTCATCCACAAAACCTCAGATCTTCTGGGCCTGGCAGCTGAAGGAGCTACCCAGTGTGGAAATGAAACACTGACTGCTGTCCTCTGTGACTGCCGAAGACTGATGCCCTCTGCCCCCAAAGACACCGTGAAGGAGCCGAGGGCAGCCTTCTAGGTAAGTCTCTGCCATTTTAATTGACACAGAAGCCATTTGGAGTATACTTCCTGCTCAAGTTTATCTTCCTTAGATCTCTGACACTGATGGCTCACTGTAGCAGTGACTGCTCTCAGGAATTAACCATCTGTGTATCCTGGTAAAAAAAAAAATAGGAAAAATGGAATTTATAAAGGTCTAGGGAAAGATTTAAGATGCACACTGTAAAGGTCTAAGGATACAGAAGCTTAAATAAGTTATGAGGGTCTAAGAAAGTAATTTAAGGTATATAAAGCTTAAGTAAGTTGTGAGGGTCCGAGAAGGTGATTTAAGGTATGTAAGTGCAAGTTACAAAGATCTAGGAGAATGATTCAAGGTATATATAAAGCAATTAAAATGTTTCAGCTTTCTATCCCTCTTGCTATACTATTATTGTATAAAGACTTCAAAGGTTCAGAGTTTTTACATTAATCAATGGAGTTAAGGTTTTCCCCGAAGCTCCTTAACTTTCCCTTCTGCTTCTAGGCTATATTTATCCCAACAGATTTCCAATCAAGTAAGGACCACAAACTGCTCCAAAGACAGTAGCCTCAGGTGGCTCTTTGAAACTAGCAAGCCCTGGACTTGCTGAAAGCAAGTAATGAGAACCAGATGCTTCTGACAAAATTGCCTACCAACGAATTGCCTACCAACGGGAGCCCCAGCTTCAGACCAGCATTCCAGACTTCCCCTCGCTAGCCCCAGGTGGTCCACAGAACCTGCACAGCAAAACAGATGTACCTGGTGCCTTCCTGGTCGTTGACTGGCATTCCAGCCTTCCTGAGTCCTGACAACAATGCCCGATTTCAGCTGAGAGGGAGTTACAGAGGAGACGATGTTGCCTCTTATCCTTAACCAAAGGCTGGGATGTTAGATCTACAGGAAACATGTTCCCCTCTGCCAAAGGGGTCATTTTCCCAGCACTGCCAAAAATGACAAACAGCCATCTCTGGTGCCTATTAGACCAAAGTGCATGCTGTCCTCCAGGCTTCTTCAGTACTACAGACCCTGAGAGTTACATAAAGGAACACCCAAGATGGGGGCTATCCATCTTGGAACTCAGCAACCATCTGTCTGAGTCCAGCCCCTGGAAGACAAGTTCCCAGTAACCTTGACTCAGTGATCCCCATCCAAAACTGTACAGCCCTGACTCTCGACTTGTTAAGCTATGACTAAATGCCTTTTTGGCTTCTGTAACTTGCTTAGGTAGATACCCAAAGATTGTCTGGGGTCACTTAACTTGGCAGAATAGACCAGTTTTTGCTTGCCTGCATAGATGTTGAAGGTCTTCTTGTGGTTTGCCCCTTTAAAAATCCTTCCCTTGCCTCCCTTCTCATGGCAATCTCAAATTCAGCTCAGAGGTTGTTCGTCCTCCTAGTAGCTAATAAATAAATCTTTATTATAATTGGATTGAATCTATGGTCTTTACTCAGGGATCACAAACTCCATCATTTCAGGATGCCATGGGTTTCCTACCAAATGAGAATGAGGAGAGATAAATGTGTACCCAAATAAGGAGAGGGAGAAAAACCTCGGTAAAAGATATTTAATGCCAGAGGGACACTGTACATCTGGGCAGAGATGACTGAAGACACAAGGCAGTAGATGTGACCTGTCAGCATTCGTGAGGCCTCCCGACAGGGGAAGCAATGGCAACAGCGGGTTTCCCGCTCTGTGCAAGAAGCATTTCATCCCCAGTCAGAGCCCAGGCTGGCTCATGTCTTCCTTGGTGGAGCAGGTTAAGTGACCATCCTTCTCTTGGATAAGGAGCTTTCAGCAGGAGCTGGTGACATTCACATCAGAACACAGATCCAGAGTCCAGGAAGGCACAGGTCCCTTACAGGTCACCAGTCAGAGGGACTTGAGACCTCTCCCCAGTACTGAGGAAGGAGCCTCCCTTTCCTGCAATTATGTACTCAAATGAGCAAAGAAGCAAGTGCTGGGACCCTTACTAAAGCTATCTCCATTCTGGGGAAGACCTGGGCCACCACTGGGGTTGTCAGGTCTCCACCTCCCACAGGGCCTCCAGGTCTCCTGGCCAGGGTCATAGATCCTCATCTTCCCCAAAGGACTGCAGACCTGAAGCCAGCCCATCTCCTTCTTCTAATTCTTTCCTGGAGGCCATGGCGCAGAGACACTCTCAAGCCCATGTCCTGAGAGTCCTGGCCAGGAAGCAGGGAAAAGCCCATTTCTCTCCCACCGGCTACAGAATACCAGCAAAGCCCAGTCCTCACAGAGGGCCAGCATTTCTTAAGTTCTTCCTCTCCCTTTTCTTCTCTTGCTTATTTATCAACCATCCAGTCATTTGTACAAATATAAAATATATTTAGATAGATTTATATAATATAGACTTTTGGGAGGCAGAGAGGAGTGGGCTGGAGGCATGGGTGCCATCATTTACAGACATACTGGTCCACGATCTCAGTGCATTTTTTGCACCTGACAAAGCAACACCAGTGGAACCTGCAGTGGCAACGCTCCACCTGGACGCTCTTGAAGCGGTCATAGCCGCGGCCACAGCACATGAGCTCACAGCCATCCATGCCCTCTGAGGTCTTGTTGCAGAGGCGGCCCTGGGTGCCCAGTGAGCCTGTGGTCTCATTGCGCAGGCAGTAGTCAGGGCTGGGGTCCACGTAGACCAGGTCCTCCGGGGTGGGCTGGTTGAAGCGGCTGTTAGCCAGCTCCAGCTTGCCCTGGCGGGTGACACGCATGGCCGCGGCACTGTCGTACTTCTCCTTCAACCGGTCCCCCACCTTGCGGAACTCGGCCAGCTGGAGCCAGCAGGTCTTGAGGCTGCAGGACCCTGAGACGCCGTGGCATTTGCAGGCGACGTCAGCCATCTTATACACAGCCTGGGGGAGGAGAAAGACGAGTCAGAGGGAGAATCCTTCACGGAGTGGGTTAAGTAGGTAGGGAGGAGAGGTGGGCCAGTGAACCCCGCAGCAAAAAAGGCCTCGCTGCTAAGCCTGACAACCTGGGGTTGATCCTTGGAGCTTACAAGAAAGAAGGAGCAAACCAAATCCTACAGTACTTCCAAATACCCATCTTCAAAACACTCTTTTTAAAATGTGGGGGGGGGGAGGGAGAGAGAGAGAGAAAGAGAGAGAGAGAGAGAACACACGTCCCTCAGCCTCAGAGGACTTTTGGGTAGTAGTTCTTGACGTTTACCTTGTTTTGAGGCAGGATCTCTCTTGTCTCGTTCTCTCATAAGATTATTCTGTGCATGCGGAGGTCAGAGGGCATCTCTCAAGACTTAGCTCCCTCCTTCTACCTTTACGTGGACACTCAGATGCCTTTACCTACTTGAGCGCCTTGCTGGCCCCTCTCACTTCTGCAGCTCCCCCACATACTCCAGGCTAGCTCACCCACACACTGCCGGGAGAGTGCAGGGGTTACAGGTGTGCATTCCTGCATGGAGCTTTTACAGGGGTTCTGGAGACCCTAATGGGTTTATTAGACTTGGGTAGCAATTGCTTCCACCCCCTGAACCATCAGTCCACCGACTGAGCTACTTCCCGCCCACCTCCCACCCCACCCTTCATTTTCTTTAAGTGGAATCTTGTTCTGTTGTGCAGGCTGTTCCAAAACTTTGAGGCTCGAGTGATCTTGCCAGTCTCCCGAGCAGCTGGAACTACAGATGTGAGCCATTGCTCCTGGCTCAAACTTTCTATGTTGATCCAATTTTCAAATACATACAACCCAACAAAATATGTCTAGCCTTTGCACAATATGGAGCACAAGTCAGAAAAGAAAGGATTCAGTTGTGTTCTATGCTGTCCTGGCCTGGTTCAGCCCAAAGTCCTCCCAGATCCTACTAAATTCCTCTCAAACGGAATGACTCCTCTTCTAGGGCTGGCATTAGGTTAGCATGCACTTCCTGGGATCTGCAGACAGGTCCCCTACCCATCCTTCACTCTCGGCTGGGAGCAACTGGGAATATGGGGTAAGGTTAAACCTAGACATGGGAGCAGGGTGGTGAGCCTACCAGTAAGAGCATTTGTTCCAGAACAAATCGACTTCGGAAGTCACTGAACCTTGACTCTGTGGAGTGGGCTTAAGTTTGAGCTACTTCAAACTCAAGATTATAAAGCAGAGTCGAGCAGAGAGCTGGGCACTAAGAACTTTTCAGCAGAGACCACTGATGCAGCAGCCGTGGCAGTCGGCCCACGGCACAGAAAGCAGGGTAAGAATGCTTCTCTGCCTCAGGACATTTTCCTGGCCACAGAATCAGGGCTCATTTCTCCAGGGTTTCCCTTAGATTTCTTTTCAAGAGTTCCCGGACTGTGTCTTTATTCAGTGCCGAGCAGAGACCACCACAGGGGCCAGAAGCAGTAGCCATTAGCAGCAGCTCTTGGAGTAGTTAGGAGGTTGTTTTCCTAATAGGGAATTACTCCCACGACTTTTCAGCGGAGAAACTGAATCTCTCCAGAGAGACTTGGGAACCTATCAGGCCCATGCAGAGGGGAGCTAGCATAATCACTTCTGGTAGCCTAGGTTGGCTTAGCACAGAAGAGGAGGGAGGCCTTCCCCCAGGTGAAAGGCAGGAGCACTTGGCCTGACAGCTACCAAGGACACCTCCCACCCCCTACTCCCATCAGGAATTTCACAGACTCTGCAGTTACTTTCTGGCCCAAATCACACTCCTGAGTCCTAGCCTGCCTCTCTCTAGAAATGGTCCTTTGCTTATGGAGGGAGCAGCATTTGATGACGTGTAAAAGGAAGCATTAAGAGTCTGCAACTGTGTACACAGTAGCTGCTGAGCCACCAGGGAGCAGGATAAATATCTCTCTAAAGGGAATAAATCCCGGGGGAGGGGCAGAGGAGGGAGGAAACAGCTCACAGATACAGATAGGACCCCCACCTCCACCCCGCCCCGTACAAGCCTGAGAAAGAATGCTGTCTCCCTTCACTAGGTAGAAATCCGGCCAATCCTTGCTCTAGAGGAAGACACGGCAGACATTGTAACAGCTGCTCTTTTGTGAAGAAAGAGAAGAGAGTGTTAGCTTGGGGCCCTTCCTGCTCACTAAAAAACTAACACAATGCGGGGCTGGGGATGGAGTTCAGGGTAGAATGCTTGCCTAGCTTGTGTAACACCCTCAGTTTGATCCCCAGAGTCACAGAAGGTGACAGAATGCTTTAAAAATGTTTTGGTCCCAGTTAGTAGTGTGTTAGTCACACCTATAATCCCAGCACTCTGTGGGGGGGGGGGGGAAGGAGGAGGACTGCCATGAGTTTGTGGCTAGCCTGGGCTACACAGAGAGCCCCTGTGTCATTCTTAACACTACCTCCCCATTTTTTATTTTTAAGATTTGGGCTTGCTGACTAGTGCCTGCAATCCTAGCACCCCAAAGGCAGAGGCAGGATGACTGCTGTGGGTTCGAGGCCAGCCTGGGCTACAGAGCTAGTTCCAGGCTTGCTAGGGCTGCACACAGTGAGACCCTGTTGCAAGTAGGTGTTGCTTTTGTTTTCATATTTTGCTGTTGTTTATTTTTTGTGCCCCTCCAAATATCAAGGTCCCAGGCCACGCCCATCTCATAGTACCGTACTTGGTACATGATAGGTATGTCACCAGTGAGACACAGGCAAATAATAAGGTCCCAGGCCACACCCATCTCATAGTACCGTACTTGGTACATGATAGGTACGTCACCAGCGAGACACAGGCTTCCACCCTCCCTCCCTGAAGTCCTTTTTCTTTTTTTAAGGTAGGGTTTCACTATGTAGCCCCGGTTGTCCTAGAACTTGCTCTGTATACCACATTGGCCTTGAACTCACAGAGATCCACCTCTCTCTGCCATCTGAGTGCTGGGATTAAAGGCATCTGCCACTGTTGCCCAGCAGGCCTTTTTATCTGCAAAGACCTCCTTGTGTGCTTGAGCAGTACCAGCTCGCTGGGCTTGCCCCTGTATCCACAGGAAGCTGCCAGGGTTGCTTATGGGCCCAGAGAGGATTCTGCCACAGCACATGGGGCTTCTGCTGTTGGACAAGATGGCAGACAGCAGGCAATCTGTTGCTGCTCTCGCTTACTCTGGTCTTAAAGTACTAGTCTGGGCTCTTTTCAACCCTGCCACTGCACAATGCTCCATGGAGAAGTCTTTGTGCAGATGAGGAGGTGAGAGCCAGACCTAATACCGTCGTCCCAGGTGCTGATTGATGGTTGGCGCTCCGTGGACAGGGATTAGAGAAAACAGAAGGACAAGCATTCCCACCCTGGAGCAGCCTGTGGCAGAGAGACAAAGGGCTGAGGAAGAGGTGTGCATGCGGTCTGGGGGAAGGAGCTAAAGTCTGGGAGCCAGACAGAGGAAGGCAGCAGAGAAGGGGCCAGGACAAACAAATGATTAAGGGCAATAAAACAAGGAGACAGCAAGAGTAGGGTCAAGCTGTGAAGGGAAGGGAGGCGATGTTTCCCCTCTAGCTTCAGTACAGATCAGAATGCCGCCTAGTTCCTGGCACTCCGACAGTGCTGGGTATGAGCTCAGAGCAGGACTGACACAGAGCCCCCTCCCTTCTTCTTAACCATTAGGAGGCTACACAGAAACTGCTCTTGTATCGTGTGCTGGACCATGCGAAGCCCAGTGAAGGGTGTAAAGGACCACAGCCAGCAAAGCTGACCCTCACCAGGGAGAAGCAGGGTGAGAAATACCCTGAGAAAGCGAGAAAAGCTTCACTCGGGCTCCCGTGCAGAAGCCTCTAGGGAGCGGGAAAGATCTTAAGACTTGGGTGGCCATTGAGTTCAGGCCTATTTTGTTTTGTTTTTGAGGTCTCACCCAGCTTGGCTGAACTAGGCTCAAGCGATCATCCTGCCTCAGCCTCCTTTGTACCTGGGATTATAGATGTCTGATCTTGAAAGAGGCCATTCAAGAGCTAAAGAGACAGGCGATGGGCCACCATGGGGCAGCTGTTCTCAGACGTGCCATTTGAGGAATCTGCAAGGAGTAAGGCAGCAGAGCTGCCATGGTGCTGCCCCCAGAGGTTGTAGGGGCAACAGGGGAGGATGGGGGACAACGGGCAACAACCAGGTATGCATTGCTGTGGCGAGTTACCCATGTTTTATCTCCTACTAAACCTGAAGCTTTGAAGACAGTTGTTTCCTCATCCTCACTTCAGCCTAAAACCTCCCAGTCCAGAGTGCATCCACCATTCATTACCCCTGAATGTGTTTGGGCTGTGGCTCTGTATCTGCTCATAGCAACTCCTCAGAGTCAGCCCCAGGCTCATCTGATGCTGTAACAACAACAAATCCAAGGCTAGGTTTAATGACTGAAACATCTAATCATAATGAGGAGGGTTGGCCAAGACAAAACACTGCTGTGGGATAATGCTCTGTACACTGTAAAGATTTGTGATTCATATTGGTTTAATAAAACACTGATTGGCCAGTAGCCAGGCAGGAAGTATAGAAGGGACAATCAGACTAGAAGGATTCTGGGAGGAGGAAAGGCAGAGAGTCAGTCACCAGTCAGATGCAAAGTTAACAAGATGAGAATGCCTTCCTGAGAAAAGGTATCAAGCCTCGTGGCTAAACATAGACAAGAATTATGGGTGAATTTAAGTCATAAGAACTAGTTAGTAATAAGCCTGAGCAATAGGACAAGCAATTTAATATAAGCCTCTGTGTGTTTATTTGGGACTGGATGGCTGCGAGACTGGGCAGGACAGAAACTTCTGTCTATAAAACACTGCACCTCAGTCTTGAAGGAATTGAAGTCCCTCTGAAGAGATAAAGTTAGAAAAATGACAGTCAGGAGCCAGGTGCTATAATAGGCACCTGTAGGTAGTCCCAGCTCCTGAGAAACTGAGGCAGAAGGATGTCTTGAGCTCAGGAGTTTGAGATCAGCCTGGGCAACTAGACCTTGTTTTAAAAAACAAATACAAGCCAACCAGTGGTGGCCTATATCTTTATCCCAGCACTCAGGAGGTAGAGGCAGGCAGATCTCCGAGTCTGAGACCAGCCTGACCTACAGAGCAAGTTCCAAGACAGCCACAGCTATATACAGAGAAACCCTGTCATGAAAACCCATCCAACCAACCAACCAACCAACCAACCAAACAAACAAACAAACAAACAAAAACAAAACAAAACCCAGCACTCAGGAGGCAGAGGCAGGTGGATCTCTTGAGTTTGAGGCCAGCCTGGTCTACACTGTGCATTCCAGGCCAGCCAGAACTTAAAATGAGATCCTATCCCAAAACAAACCACCCCCAACCAAGAAACAAAGCTACTCCTCCACACTCCTAGGAAGAAAGACAATCCCAGAAGTGGTGCACAAGGAAAGGGAGCAGCTCAGTGACAAGGGTACACATCCACACCCTTAGCTCCTTGGCAGTGGTCAGGAGGACAGATGGCTTACCCGGCGTCCGGCCTCGTTGTTCTGCAGGTTCATGAGGGCTCGGCCCTGCTCCTCTGATCCCTTGGCAAAGTTCTTCTCACGCTCTCGGGCGTCTACAAACTCTTTGGCAAAGCGGTAGCCGTACTCCACATTGTCCCCACAGCCACCCCACAGCCAGTCTCGTGGCAGGTCCTTGGGCCTCGCCGTCCGGCTGCAGCCACAGGTGGACAGCTCACCCTCTCGGCAAGCGCGGCTGATGGCATTCACCACCCCGGCAGCACTCACTGCATAGGTGAAGGCAGTCTCCCGGCTACCTGCAGCAGGGGATAACAGACGGTAAGCAGGTCACTGTCCTCCGCTGATGGCCTCTCCCTCCCTCTGCTTGCTTGTGGCTTACCGTGTGGGAAGCAGTGTCCCAGGAGACGCCTGCCCTCTCCATAGCACTGATGGCTAGATACTCCTTGCCACGGGCTGACCTTGGCCCATTCTGACTTCTGCCTCTTGGCCCCAGCTCTACTCTATGAAACCCTCCAGGCCTGGTCAACACTCAATCACTGTGCTTCACAGGACCCTAACAGTCACTCCTGGGAGGAGCTGTAAGCAGAGGGGGAATGGGCTTCCTGCAACTTAGGGACCATTCCAGAGTAACAGAATAAGACCGAAGAGGAAATTAAGAGATTAATAGAGCAAGTCCGCACCCAAACAAGAATGGCTTCTCCTTCAGATACCATTTCTCTCCCATCCATAAGCTACACATCTGTGTGTCTGTCCTCTTCGTGGCTGCTGCTGTCTAGTGAGACCCTGGCAGAGGCCAGGAATAGAAGGTGACAGACAACAGTCCTACATTTCCAGCTCTCTTCCTTGGCCTCACGATGTCCATCAACTCAAGAGCACCGGGGAGCCACACCTGAAGTCTCAGCCCCCAGAAATCTCCTATGATAGAGCCCCAACTATGTTCCTCTTTATGGCTGCAGCAATCCACTTTAAAACTTCCACAGTGCAGGTAGTGGCCCACACCTTTAATCCCAGCACTTAGGAAGCAGAGGCAGGTGGATCTCTGTGATTTTGAGGTCTAGACAGTGAGTTCCAGGACACCCAGAGCTACACAGTGAGACCCTATCTGGGGAAAAAAAACCAGACAAAACAAAACAAAACAAAACAAAACCTAGCCTCCCATGGTATATGCTCTGTTGCACTGGGGATGGGAATGTTAACAGCCTCCCACAGTGCACTGCATGCTCTGTTGCATGGTGCATGGGAATGTTAACAGCCTCCCAAGGTACATGCTGTTGCACTGGGGATGGGAATGTTAACAGCCTCCCACAGTGCATGATGTTGCATGGTAATTGGGAATGTTAACAACCTCCCACAGTGCATGCTCTGTTGCATGGTGGATGGGAATGTCAACAACCTCCCACGTTGCATGCTGTTGCACTGGGGATGGCAATGTTATTGGGTGCAGATGCTTTGGAAACAAGCCTGGCAGCAACTGAAAATGTCAGCAGAGTTCCCAGATGACCCAGCAATTCCATTCCTAAAAATAAGCCCAATGGAAACAGAGATATGTGTCCAAATGTTTCTCTGTGGATGCTCATTGCAGCATGATTCATAATGACCACAAGAAAAGAAAGAGAAAGAATGAAAGAACCCAATTATCTATCAATGGATGGATAAAAACAATGTGCCATTGGCCATACAGTGAAATAGTAACAGGAATGAAGTACCAACATATGTCACAACATGGATAAAACTTTAAATAATTGCATCAAGGGAAGAGGCCATTTATTGTTTGATCCTATTTATAGGGATGTTCAGAATGGGAAAAATCCACAGAGATTAGCTGTAGCCCAGGGCCGGGAATGGGGGTTAGACAGTGACAGTTAAGGGATGGTACAAATGCTGGACTTAGTGGCTACATACTCTGAAGACCACCAAATGTACACCTTTAAATGGTGCATTGTATGGGACAGGAATGATATCCCCATACATCTGCTTTAACAAAAAGCAGAGGACACTGGTGTGGGACACCGAGAGAAGCAGCTCTTGGCAGGCCACCGATTCCTCCTGGCCTTGATACTGTACCAGGCAGAATGATCCGCTCTCCTTTGTGACTCCCAAGTCTCCACACTGGGAGGGTGAAGAGGCAGAAGCCTGTAGTCAATTAACAGGTATGAAGGCTGCGGAGAGGGCTCCACAGTTAAGAATATTTGCTGCTCTTGCAGAAGGCTGGAGTTTGGTTCCCAGCACCCAGGTCAGGAGGCTCCAATGCCCTCCTCTGGCTTCTGCATGCACACACATAGGCGCACATCCGTGCATACAAATGACACAATGAATCTGAGAGGGAAGTCTGGAGTGATCCCTACTTCTTGATTACCTTGGCGCCACACAGCGGTGTCAGAAATCAGAACCACACTAGTGAATCAGTTTTCCACAGTTAATGATCAGCTTTGGTCATTTTGTGAACAGGAACACCTCCTGGAGCCTCCACCTCTTTGACTGATGCCTGCCCCAGTGCTGACTGTAGCAGTGAATGCTGGGATAGTAAGATAGTCCAAGAAACTCTCTGAATTTTAAATTGTGCATATCTTCATAGGGAAATGTGCATTGCATGTAGTACCTGTGGAGGCCAGAAGAGGGTGCTGGATCTCCTGGAACTAGAGTCAAAGGCAGTTATGAGCAGTCTGATAATGTAGGTGCTGGGAGCTGAACTCGGGTCCTCTGGAAGAGTATTATGTGCTCTTAACGAAGCAGGCTGGGCCCTGTTCTGAGTGAGTCATGCCTGAGAAGTCTTCCAGAAATGCTCCCAAGCCCTGACACACCCTGGGGCAGGACAGAGCCTCCTCAGCCCAGGGTCCCTTTCCCGTCTCCACAAGCATTATCTCCCGGTATTCCTCAGAAAAATAGCTGACCTTCCAAAGCAGCTTATTCATCTTTTTTTTTCTTTCTCTTTATAAACGATTCTATCACTAGAAAGTTCCTTCTCATATGAAACCAAAATACGCCTCCTTGTAATGTCTGCCTGCTGGAACGGCACTTCCTAATCCTCTATCCATTTGACAGCTCTCCAGTGTTTGAAAACAAGAAACATGCCTTTTATGTGTTCCTTTCCCAAGCTACATATGTCTGGTTTCTTTTACCCTCATTTGGCAAATATGCTTCTCAGAGTCCAACCGGCCCTCCCCAAACCATGCATCCATCTCTGAATGTAATACACCGAGCTGACTTCTGGTTATGGCATCTGAAAGTGTCCTCCAGCACACTGGACTCATTCTGCCTCTGATGTAAGGGTGTGGCCAGACTCTGAGAGTATGCAGTGTTAACTGAATGGGGCAGCACCTGGGGCTTGGGTAAGAGAGTATTGCATAGAAATCTCTTGCGAGAAAAAAACGCCTCACTACTAACAGGTTAGATAAGCAGTGTGTGCATGAGTATTGCTGGGGGAAGGGTGTGCAATCTAGACGTGAAACAGTCACAGACTAAAGTAAAGCCAAACCATCCCAATGATACAGGGCCAGCATGCCACGGCCACAGGGTGACTGGAGAGATGTCACATCTCTCCCACTCCAGGGAAACTCAACAGGTCAGCCCTTAGGCTCCCTCAGCTGTCCCACTGCTCCCGCGGAGGCTTTGGAAGCCAGGCTGCTCTTCTGAGCCGCTCTGCTGCCCTCTGGCGATGACTTTTGCTGCAGCATCAAGAAGAGGGGAGTCTAGTGATAACCTCCGTGGATCCTAGAAGGAGCTACCCTGGCACAGGAGGAAGGACGGCTGCTTGCTCAGGTCGGGAGAGCCTTCAGGGAGGTTACGAAAAGGAGTGGGAGAGCTGGGGTGTGGTGGCACATGCCTTTAAATCCCAGCATTAGGGAGGCCGAGGTGGGCTGATCTCCATGAGTTCAAGCCCAGCCTGGTCTACATAGAGTTCTAGGACAACCAGGGCTACGTAGAGAGACCCTATCTCAAACAAACAACAGCAATGAAAAAAGAAAGCAAACAAACAAGAGTGGGGAAGATCAGACAGACCAAAGCCCTCCTGCTGGTAACTGAAACCGATCAAGCGAGATGTACCTCCTCTGTGAGGTCTGCCCTGAGCCAGTCACCCTACGATGCAATCAGACTCACATTCCTCATACCCCACCCCGTTTGAACACACGGGTGAGTGTGATGTGTGCAGGTAGACGTGCATTCCCATCAGGCCCCAGTCTACAGCTCGTATTCCCCGGACAATAAAATGGTGTTAGTCTTGTCTCAGAACAACCCAGAGCAGCTCACCACCACACTCCCTCACAACCGTGTTCCTCAGGAGCCGGCCACCTTGTTTTTGGAGACAAGATCTTTCACTGGGGCCTGATGCTCACAGGTCTGGCTAGGCTGGCTGCCAGCAAGTCCTAGGAATCTGCCTGTCTCTGCCTCTTTAACAATGGGGTTACCAGCATGTGTCATGGCACTCATCTTTCTATGGGGGTGCTGCAGATTGAATTTGGGTTCTCATGCCTTTTATGCGGGTGCTGGAGATCAAATTAGGTTCTCGTGTTTGCAAGACAAAGACGCCACTCCCCACCCGCACTGGTGTCATGGTCCCACCCAAAACTGCTTAGGCAGGATAGGTACTGTGCCAAGGAGTGCCCAGAATTAGTAAGTAAACCCCACCAAAAGCCGTGTCAGCTTTCTGGGAAAACTGCCCCTCGGGCCATCGCGGACACAGGCACATTCCTACAGCCAGAGCTGATCCCAAAGGCAAAGGCAGAGGTCAAAGGAAACTTTCACTTTTCAATTTAAGGCTGGGGCAGATGTTTGGATTAGTGTGTGGGGGGGGGGGTTCGTTCTAATAGAATACTTTAAAATCTCTACCCACCCCCAAACATCCTGCTGGAACCAACCCTGCTTTGGGGAAGTCCCAGCACCAGCTAACTCCAGAATGCTGTAGTGAGAGGGAGCTGTCCAGGGAGAAGGCAGAGACAAGGCTACCAACACCTTCCTTTTATGGTCCTGGAGATAAGACCCAGCAGAATAGGGCCTGGTTTCTCAATTTCTTGCCAGGGAGGGGAGGATTGCATTTCAAAGGGACCTAAGACAATTAGACGCAAATCACACCTCCTTTTGGGCAATAGGACAGTGGAGCTCTCACCAGCTGGGGGACAGGGGAGGGGGAAACGGATCCTGAGCAGTGGTCCTCTCATCTTCCTCTCCCACACTTTCACATGGAATGACAGCTATTACCAACCTGGCACCAAGTTTTCACCTTCTGCTCAAGGGCTCAAGGGGAAGAAGTGAAAATCTTAGATGTCAAACATGCAGTTTGGGATTCTTTTTCCTCCCCTCTGTAAAGACTTCTAAAAAGGCCCTTCCAGCACTGAGAGACAAAGGCAGCCATGGCAGGCAGGCCTCTAATCCACACCCTCCTTACTCAGACTTCCGCCTGTCTGTTCCCTCCCAGAGTGAGTCAGACAGCCCCGGGGTGAGTCTGACCTAGAGGAACGCAGCTACTGCTGTGACTTGTGGGGCTCCCTCTTCCTCCTAACACGTTCCCAAGCCCAACAGGATGCGCGAGGCTTCCATTCATGCTACCAATGGACCAGTCACCGGGGAGGAGACATGCCCCCGGGTGTGAAGACAAGGATCCTGTGACCAAGCCAAGCTCAAGTGGCCTCTTACCTATCTGCATGACTCTGCCAAAGACAGACGTGTTGTCCACGGTGCTGCAGTTCCACCGCCTCTGCCGGAACTGGTGCTGGCACTCCCTGATGCCCGTCTTGGCTCCCTCCCCGATGTAGGACATGTGCTCCTGATACAGCTGACACAGCTTTCTCTGGCCTGGGGAAAGCCCGGGAAGCTGGCTGCACACGGGCTGAGCACCAATGATGAACATCTCAGGTCTCTGCACCGGGTTCAGAGCTAGCGACCTACAAGCAACGCAGAAAGGGGGAAGGCCCGCGGTGAATGTGCCAGCTGCAGCTCTACGCATTCACGAAATCCCTCTCCACCAAGTCTCCAGCATAAGAAGGGAACTTGAAGACAGAATGCATGCCTTCAAAGAACTTGGAGGGAAACTGAGGCACAAGCCCAAATGCTATGTGAGATACCATATGCCTCAGACAGTTGGAGATGGTAGCGTGTGGCTGTGCACCCCTTTAATCCCAGCCAAGCGAGAGGCAGATGAAGGTGGATCTCTGTGAGTTTGAGGCCAACCTGATCTGCACGGTACGGTGACTTCCATCCAGGACAGTCACAGCTATATAGCAAGACCCTGAATCAAAAAGACAAACAAAAAACAAAACAAAAAAACAAAAACCAACACAAGACAAACAAACCAAAACACAACAAAAATTTGAACTGTCTTAAAGGACGAGGGCAGACAAAACAGGCTGAGCAGGGCAGCCATTCTCTGGGGGTTGAGAACAGAAAAAGTGAGCTGTTGGTAGAGAGCACAGACCTCATTGGAGGAGGAAGAATATGAGCTTAGCCAAGTGCAGGGTGCATGACGGAAGGTCACCGATTCCCCTAATCAAATCTGCTCATGCCTTTAAGACAGAACACCCCACATGTGACTATGTACCCCAACCATTCTCTTCTCCCACCTCTCGGCAGCCCAGACCTCTGCTCATCGGCTTGGGGGCTGATTCGTCATCTGGCACATATCACAGATGAAGAGCTGAGTTAGATGAAGGACTTACAGACTTGCCAGCTGAATAAAAGCCCGAGTTGGGCACAGACCGTGCCATTTCCATGTCTACCTGGCAAGCACGGTGGTCTTAAAAACACAAAAGAGCCTACTTGGTTCTTTCTACAAGGCTCTCTTCCAACCTTCAAACTGATCTAGTAGGAATTTTACTGCATCTACTTTTACTAGCAAAAAAAAAAAAAAAAAAAAAAACCCAAACAAACAAAAAACAAAAACACAGAGAGCCACAACACCACACCTATAATACACATACTTGTACACACACACAAATATTTACAGCCTTTTTTGTGATGGGGGGGGTCTCACTGTGTTCTACAGGATGAATTATTTGGGCTCAAGTGGTCTGTCTGACTCAGCCTTAATAATGCAGGGGGGGGGTCTTGGAGAGAGATAGATGGCACAGAGGTTCAGACCACTGCTCTTTCAGAGGACTGGGGTTCAATTCCCAGCACCCACATGGCTGCTGACAACTGTCTGCAACTCCAGTTCCAGGGGATATAACACCCATGGCAAAAACACCAATGAAAAAAATTTAAATAATGTGTGTGTGTGTTTCTAAGAATGGATTTAAGAGTCTCATTTATGCTATCGATATTTTTTGTTGGCTAAATAACAATAAAAGCTATTTGTTACAATTCACAGGCTGGGGGGGGCACCTTCAGGAAGGGTTTTAGACAAGATCTAAGTGGGAGGGGAAATCACATGACCAAAGCCTACATTCTTCTCTTGATGCCCTCAGCTCTGGGAGCTTGAGGGAGAAAATGAGCTCTCCCAGCCTACCTGGGATGACAGAGGCCCTGGTATTCCTCAGATAAAGGTGTGATCACTCCCGTGGGGCTCTGCTTATGAAGGGTAATCTTGGTTACCCCAGCAGCCTCAAGGTCGGCACAGGCTAGCCCCTCAGTTCTCGCACTCACCACCAGGAGCTGGCATCAGTCAGGAGTTGGGCCCAGCTGGAGAGCAGAGCTGCTATGAACAGCAACATCAGGCTGGGCATGGTCAACCTCAGCCCATCCCAGTGCCCTGGGACCAACATCTTCCGAAGCGGAGCTCCCTGGAGAGAGAGAAGCAGAGGAGAGTCAGCATGCAAATGCCACAGACCTGGGGAGCCCGGGAGAGAGGAGGACGATCCAGCAGAAATGTTCAGAGCTGTGGGAGGGATCCGAAGGCAAATTCTGCCCCTCTTCCCCTCCCCGTGAGAAATTCAGCCCTTCCTTTCCAGCCTCCTCTTACTGGGAAGCTAGCTGCTCACCACAGAGCCTTGGAGTCCCTTACTCAGGACCCCCTTCTGAAGGGAGCAAGCTGTGAAGCCAGAAAAGCTAACGAAAACTGCCCATTTCAAGAAGAGTGTGCCTGGTGCAGCAAGTAAGAAGCACACCTGCCCTTCTAGGGCCCAGGACAAGAGCACAGAGACAAAGGGTACTTAAAAAAAAGAAAACAACAACAAAAAACAACAAAAACAAAAACCACCCACTCCAGTTCAGAGATTTAATTCTCTATCAGACTCTTCTTTGTGGGGGTTAAGGGTTAAACACCTGCAGAATTGGATGTGACGACACCCCAATAGGCTGTCCTCTCGTTTCTCCCTGCTCTTAAGTCTTCTGAACGCGAATACTTGTTTACCCTTCAGGAGTAATGCAGAGAGAAAGAACATGAAGGCCGCGCAGGAGCCTCCCAGGAGCAGGTTTTGGGGACCCGTCTCCTCCCCCAACACTTTGGCCTTTGAAGGGCCACACGGAATGTAATTCCAGCAGCATTTGAACAGCACCGGCTCTGGGTCACTTCTCCCAAACCTTCCGGGAGGTCCTGCCCCCTCCCTTGCTGCAATGATGTTGCCACCTTTGCCTTGGCTGAGACACACCTGGCACATTTGGAAAATACAGCTTTGGCATCCTAGAGCAATCAATCGATCAAACGCCCACCTACAGCTAGGCTCTTCTCATTTCCAGTACACACACACACGCACACGCATGCATGCATGCATGCACACACGCAGGCACAGCACACGCTCCAGACAGTCCCAGGCTAGCTCACCAGGCTGATGCTGAGTTTCTGGGTCTCTAGACTCTCCGGGAGGGGGCGGCAGATGCTTTTTAGACCTTCGGTATAGGAAATGTTTGACCTCGGACCACTAAGAGCGGAAGATGGCCCGAGCAGGATTCGGAGTCGGGAAGCGCCTGTTCCCCACCCCTTTTGGTTTTCCTGCAGGAGGTCTCAGCTGGGGCCGGGCACCAACAGGCAGGTGTGTGGGGCCCGCAAGGGGCAGATCAAAGAGAGATTTGCTCCTCAGCTTTTGTCATGTAGAATCAGCTCGGAAATGATCCGGCCTTTAGCGGGGCCGCTAACAACTCCAACTTTCCTAACCGACTACACCGCCTCCTCTCGGGGATGTCCCTCCTCCTCCTAGACCCCCCATAAATCCTCCTCCACCTCAAGATAGGAGGTCTGTGAAGGTAGAATTTAGAGATGGGGCAGAGATAAGGCTGGCTCCAGAAGCTAATGGCTTTATGGAGGGGGAGGGTACAGGCCTGGGATAGAAACACACAAGGGAACAACTTCAAAGGGCCCCCTTGTCCAAACATCCCCAGCTTCTCCTCCCAGTCCTTGGGGACCATTCAGCCTTCTCTGGCTGCCCTGGCCAAACCACCACAGACTGGAAACCTCCCTACTCCCCACAGCACCCCGCCCCGTAGGTCTTTACACAGGTTTCTCCCAATGGATGGTACCAACGTCCGCCAGCCTCCTCTCCCCAGGTTTCCCACCTCACACCCCCTAACAGGTTCCTAGGAAATCTTTTTTGAGGTCCTATGTCTAACCAAAGTCAACCTGGGAGTCTGGAACAGCATCACTTCAGAGACAGACAGTGCCTGCTAAAACCACTGAGTTTGACTGCCCAGGTCAGATGCCCAAGGGCAGTCTCGGGCCAGATTCATAGGGGTTGCAAATTCCACACCTTTGCAAATTCCCCTCAGAAACAAGCGGAAAATGCAATGACCCCCCAGCAGCTCTCACCACCCTGCATACCACCAAGTTCACATGAAATTCTAAAAATGACCCCAAACCCAACCAACCGGTCAAAGAAAAAAAGCCTCCTGTATGTGTGTTGCTCCCGCTGCCTATCAGATGTGTGGAACATGAAACAAGGCACACACAGTGTCCTTAGCAGCTCTGTCCTGGCCAGCGGGGGTTCAAGAACTGGTGCTGGGCAGCCATCTGCACTCTGATGCCTTCACATGTGGGGATTGACAGTGTGGAGCTAACCGAGATGTTTTGGTCCCACTGGGTATAAATACCCAAATCCAGACAGGACACATGTAGCCAGAGCCCAAGGAACAGCTGCTGCAGACTGTGGGACCTGAGCAGGGTCTTGAAGTCTGTGACCACTTGTTCTGGTCAAAGGGGAAGGACTTTAGAAGGCTAAATGAGTCACTATGGTGAGAGAAGGCTTCAGCCAAGTCTGGACTTCTCGGGGTACTCTTGCTTATGAACTTCGGGGAGCACTTCCAAGGCCTGGTATCTAATCACCATGGATCAATCAAAAACAATCACCCGGGAAAGTGCCCATTTCTCTGGTTACCGAGTGCCACCCTTTGGACCATGAAGCCATGGGCAAGCTGAGTGAAGTGTAAAACAGCCGGGTTTCCTGCCGCCTGCCGGTTCTCTCTTCCTGGATTTACACCTTAAACCTTGCTGTCTTTCCAGCTCCTCCCCGTCCCGTGCATCAAAACCACTGCCATTGATCGTGTCTTCAGAGTGCATTTAAAGCTTGCTCCCCACTCTCCACCCCTACCGCCATACCCTCAGAGGCCAAAGAGCTGGCTAAGTGACCCCTAGTCTCCAAATTGTTTCACGGCTTCTGTATTAAATTCTCTACTGCTCAGCTTTCTAATTTTGTAAACTCTCAAAGTGTGGCTGGCATCGATTAGTATCAGTATCGCTTGAAAATCCATCAGAAACACAAAACCTCAAATTGCCAAGTTCTATCCAGACACAGTTCTGTGTCTAGCAATCTGCTATTGTTGTTTTTAATGCAATTCTTTTTTTAAAAGAATTTTATTACATTTATTTATTTGTGTGAGGAGTCAGCGGTGGGCACATGTGCTGGGAACCAAAGGACAGCTCCGTGGAGTCAACTGATGCCCATGAGAATCTGAGGGCCACTTTCCTGCAGCCATCCTCGCTGACAGGTACTGAATCGATGTACCACCTTCTCATAATAACATGTTGTATTTTAATAATACATGTCTACTTGTTGATACCTTAAACCAATCACTCTAGGGTGTTAAAGACCCCTCAGGGCCATGGAACTTTCAGCACAAGCAAATCAAGCCACAGCTCTAGCATGACAATGTCCTCTAGTTTTTACTGTTGGTCATGTATGTGGAATGTGGGAAGGATCACGCCAACAACTCACATGACTGATGACAGTGGCTGCACAAGTCTGGGATTACACCAAGTGCCACTCGGTGCACACCTAAAGAGTACTGGACTGTTCACTTTAGATGACATGGGTTGTATCTAAACAAAGCAGTGACCATTTAAAAATGTGTTCACAGTGATGCTGGCCCCTCCCCTGTAGATATTTATGCACCAGGAAGTACGTCAAGAGCAGTCCTATGGCAGTGCCTGCACCAAGCCTGAGTCTGAGCTCCAAGACTTAGCATGCGCCAGTCCATGCGTTCTAATCTCAGCCAAATCAAAATAAACAAAGAAGTAACAAGATAGCAGCTTCAAGCTGGCCTCATGCTGTCAGCAGCGTCCTCAACAGTGAGGTGCACGGGCCAGCTATGATCTCTGGTTGCAATGAAATATTGTGCAGGAATAAAAATGAACAAGCTATAGCCGCATGCAACCACATACTCAAATCTTAACAACGTAACGCAGAAAAGCAAGTCACAGAGACTGTAGGTGTAAGCCATACAGAAGAGCAAGCTGATTATCATCAGCACCACGTGGAGGTTCCCTCCAGGATGGGCCAGGGAAGGGACCACGATGAAGAAGAAGCCTGGGGTGTCTAAGCGCCCCTGGGTAATGGACAATGCCGGTTCACCGCTGCCACTCATTTGGCTGTGCATATACTATGAGCACATCGTGGCTCTCCGCCGTTTCCTGAGTTCCTGTATTGGACATCGTAGGACAGAAATGTTCAAAACTAGCATGGACGGAGGAGCTCTGTGCATTCCCAGTCTCACCGGGCACAGTAAGATCCTTCCCTGCCCCCTTCTCTCCTTACAGAAAGAATATTCAAGCTCAAAAGGAAACATTAAACAAATGCTTACTAATTTAGAGACAGCCCTGTGACATACGATTGGAGGACGGGGGTAACTATGGAGAACATCAGCGCGCAGCCCCCAGCATCCTGTCTGTGAGCCAGCAGTTTCTGTGGCAGGAATCAACGCAGCATGGTTTCCCTTCACCGTGAGGAACCCAGGCTTTGGCCAAGCTACTTTCTATATCATGTCTGTCTGTCTGTCTGTCATCTACCTACCTACCTACCTATCTATCTCTTTAATTTTGCTAGTGGTCACCATTTAGTTCACCAGCCAGCTCTCTCTCCAGCGTTTTCATAGATACCTTTCTTCTTTAACAGACATTTTGTTCTTACAGTGACCAAAGATTAATGCGATCATGCGGGGAAGACTTTATCAGAAAATCCCAGTCTCTTGAAGGGATCCCCAGATGCTCATCTGCTCAGCTCAACTATCACAGCCTTTCCCTGCCAGCCTTAATTATTTCTCCCAGGGGTCTCTGCCTCTACCCTGCCCCCCATTCTTCCTTGCTCAGCGAATCCTCTTAGCCCTAAGGCACAGGCACGGCATTCCTTTGTGTGATCTACTTCCCCCACAGCTGGTGGAGATGAAAATTAAAACATCTATGGTGGGAAGGGAGGGAGGGAGGGTTACCAGTCCTACCACCTTTTGTGGCAACCCCTGGGGATCTCATGTGTCGCGAGGTGTGCCTTAGGGAGAGAGAGGGTGGGCAGAAGAGAGGAGGCTTAAATTCTGGCTCTCGGGAGGGAAGTTAAACTAGGAATGCACGTGGCATTCCCTGTGA